TGGGTGCATCTGAGGAAAGGAACATCCTTAGAAACCAAGAGACAAGAGGCAAAGGTCAGGGCCAAGTGCTTGAGGTCAGGCACGGGGAACATGGAGGAGAGTTAGAGTCCTGATGTGGACAGAAGGATGGGTGGGTGGGACATTGGGGTCTCTCTAGAGGTGACCCCCCCATGCATAAGAAGATGGATGTGGGTGGGCACATGCGGCCAGGAGTGGAGGCAGGAGGAGTGATGAGCACCTCATGTCTGAGGGACTTGGACAACAAACCATGGTCATTATGAATCATAATTCAGAGACTTCCACTACTTCACATGGCCTCCCTGTCCCGGTAGTATCACTTATGGCTTTGGACTAATGTAATGATTTTCCCAGTTCAGTAATAGGAAGGGATCAATCCCTAATAGAGACAATATGTTCATCCACCCACAACCTAGGGGTGTGTAAGGTGAGAGATACAGCAGCTGATTTCTGGTCTTTGTGGAACTTGAGATCTAATCAGAAAAACTCAGTCGGTGAACACGATAATGAAAGGCTGTTTATGATAAATATCAGGAAACTACCTTTGCCTTTTAACCATCTACTTTACTGACTAACCATTTTTTGTTCTAGTCTGACTGAGATAACTAGTTAAGTGAAGGAACCAGTGTTCTCACAGTTTTTCAGGCTTTGAAAAGTGCAGTGTAGGGCACACGCTCAGAAATTGATGAGCCTGGTCTAAATCCTGGCTTTGTCCGTTCCTGGCTTTGAGACTCTAGGCAAATCACTTAAACTTGCCAAGACTTTGTCTCTAGTTGCATCAAATGGTGGCTGGAGCACGCACACACCTCACAGGGCTTTGTGTGGGTGACAATAAGCATGAGTGCCACGTGTGCCCAGCCTATACCTGCTCTCAATCAAAGTGAGCTAGACTAGTTATTATACTCATACTCACAAATTTTACAGGAGTCATCATTCCCCGGTGCTCCCCAAGTTCCCTTCCGCTACAGTATTGAAGGGCAGTCGTGGACAATCTCCTCCTCCTACGCCATGACCTCTGTCCTGTCATTGCCATAGTTACTCACGCTCTGGCCTCCTTCTTTTGTCCCTCATCCATCTCTCCTCAGGTCAAACAGAAACAAGGAAACAGCATATTCCTTCATGTGGAAGGAATTTAAAAACCATTTTTTCACTCTGTGAATTTATAGATGAGGAAACTGAAGTTCAGGGGTAGTAATGTGTTTGCCCAGTAATCAGTGGGGCCCATGCTCCCTGGGGCAGCACCGAGGTGGTACCGGGAACTGCCACAGTTGTGGGCCTTCGGTGGCTGCTGGTGTTCCTGTGCGAGTGGGTTGAAGTACTGCATCTCTCCACAGGGACCCCTTTCTTCCATGGCTCAGGACACTCCCCTGGGTCGAGTCAAGAGGAAAACTGTCTGGTAAGCATTTGGCTCACTCTCAGAACTGAGGATGAAACTCCTTACAGTCAGATGATATTTTTTTCCTTTAAGTCTTCTGAGGTTTTGATAATTTCATTCTCTCTGAGGCTGGATTTTAAAGAGAATCTCCTTACCCACCTGCTGCCCCACTGTCCACTTCCCAGTGTGGCCTATGCCTCAGGACCCTGACCTGCCGCCTGTGAGCATGGCCAGCGTCCGCTGCAAGCTGGCCCGCTACTTGGAGGACCTGGAGGATGTGGACATGAAGAAATTCAAGATGCACTTAGAAGACTACCCTCCTCAGAAGGGCTGCACGGCCCTCCCTCGGGGTCAGACAGAGAAAGCAGATCACGTGGACCTAGCCACCTTGATGATAGATTTCAATGGGGAGGAGAAGGCATGGGCCATGGCGGTGTGGATTTTTGCTGCAATCAACAGGAGAGACCTTTACGAGAAAGCTAAGAGGGATGAGCCAGAGTGGGGTGAGTGGAAGGAAGACAGTATTTTTTGAAAGTTGTGATAAGAGACACATAACAAAATTTACCATCTTAACCATATTTAAATGTATGTTTCAGCAGTGTTAAGCACATTCATGTTGTTGTGCAATCCATCTCCAGAACTCTTTTTCATCTTGCAAAACTCTGTCCCATTAAACAACAATTCTTCATTTCCCTCCCCAAGCCCCTGGCAACTACCACTTTCTGTCTCTACGAACTTGACCACTCTAGGTACCTCTTATAGGTGGAATCATACAGGATTTGCCTTTTAGTGGTGACTGGTTCATTTCACTTAGTATAATGTCCTTCAGCTTCATCCATGTTGTCACATATGACAGGATTTCATTCTTTTTTAAGGCATAATAATATTCCATGCTATGTATAGACCACATTTTGTTTATCCATTCATTCATCAATCGACATTCAGATTGCTCCTCACTTTGCATTATAGTGAATAATGCTGCTGTGCATATGGGTGTACAAATCTCTTCTAGACCTTGCTTTTAGTTCTTTTGGGGATATGTTCAGAAGTGGAATTGCTGAGTTATATGGCAATTCTATGTTTAATGTTTTGGGGAACGGTCATACCGTTTTCCGTAGTGGTTGCACCATTTTACACTCCCACCAACAGTGCACAAGTGTTCTAATTTCTCCATATCATTGCCAACACTTATTTTGTTTTCTTTTTATAGAGCCATCCTAATGGATGTGAGATGGTATCTCATTGTGGTTTTTGTTTGCATTTCCCTACTGACTGGAGATATTGAGTATCTTTTCATGTGCTTATTGGTTGTTTATCTTTGAAGAAATGTCTATTCAAGTCCTTTTCCCATGTTTTATTTGAGTTGTTTATTTTTTGTTGTTGACTTATAAGAGCTCTTTGTATATCCTGAATATTAACCCCCTATCAAATATATGATTTGCAAATGTTTTCTCCCATTCCATGGGTTGCTGTTTTCCTCTGTTAATGGTATCCTTTGATGCTTCATAGTTGGCATGTTTTTTGTTTGTTTGTTTGTTTTTTTAAGAATACTGCAAAATGGCGGAGCTGGCATTCTTGTCAGAATTTTCTGTTTTTATTTTATTTTTAATTTTTTAAAAGATTTTTAATGGGGGGTTGGGGGATGGGAACAGTGCTGGGGAATTGGGGGAAGGGGAGCAGACAAGTTGCTGTCGTTTTCTTCAGTCTAGTTGTGGAGGACGTTGCTTCACTGGCCCAAGTTGTCACCATCATTGCGCTCTTCCCAGGCGAGGCAGATCAGTCGCTGGCTTCTGGATGGCCGCTCACGGCGGCTGCTGGCCGCTCACGCTGGCTGCTGGCTACACACGGTAGCCCATGGCAACCCACCTGCTGTCGCCGGTGACTCAAGGCAGCCCAGCTCCAGGTTGAGCTGTTGTTCAGCATCTTAGCTATGGAGGGCAGTGTCACTGGCCCTCATATGTGGGATCTGAACCGGGGCCCTCTGGCGTCCCAAGCCAGCTCTTAACCAATGCGCAACTCAGCTGGCCCCATAATTGGCATGTTTGCTTTCTAATTATTTCTTTTATTACTTGGGTCTCTTCCTCTTTCTTCCTCTCATGATAATGCTATGAGAAGACGGAAGAAAGCAGTTCGCTTTTTTCTAACTCGTTTAGGAACCCAAGTCAGGGCTCATACACCCCTGGAAACCTTCCCTAATCAGTTCCACCTTATCCAAATCTCTCTTGTGCCTGAAACTTTCTCCAAGTCTCCAACCTGCATGGTCAACAAGCTCGAGACTCTGCTTCCTATGGCTCATGGGGCAATGTCTCTCCTTGTAGAACTGTGTGGGATGTGTGGAAAGCGTTTCCTGTGGCCATTGCTTTGGGTATGGAGGTGGTCAGAGAAATTCTCTTCATGCCTGAGGACACGGTGGGTGTGAGGTCCTTCCCTCTGGTTGGTGTTCTGAACAAGGGAAGGGCACATGAAGGCTCAGAGGAATGTGGAAAACCATAGGTGATGATGTTGAGCTAGTGGAAAGGAGGGATAGAAAAGAACCAGCCAACTGGGAGAGGCACGGCTGGGTGGCGCAGCAATGTGGGTGTGACAAGGAAGAGAAAGTAATATGGGGTCATGAGGAGGGGAGCACAACAGTGGGTGTGCTAAACAAACTGTGTATAAGAATGCAATTATAATTATATCAGTACTTACATACTTAGTAACCAACTTAAAGTATCATAATCATAGTTGCAGAAGTATTTTGCTAAACACTTTTTGTGGATTTTGTTCATTCCTCATAAGATGCCCATGAGGCAAGCACTTCCAATTGAATTTTCAATTTCATTGTACTAAGTGCAATAAGCCAGTAACAGAAACACACATGCTGTATAGTTCCATTTATAAGAGGTCCCTCGAGTCGTCAAATTTGCAGAGACAGAAAGTGATAGCTGCCAGGGGCTACAGAGAGAGAGGAATGCATAATTGTCATTTAGTGGACATAGCTTTTCAGTTATACAAGATGAAAAAGAATTCTGGAGATTGGTTGCCCAAAAATGGAAAGTGAGCCTGGAAGTCCTTGTTGCCTGTGGCTACATCCTCTTCACGGCCAAGTCCAGGACTCAGCACCAGGTGTGCCTTTGGTTGAAGCCTGGCTGGTAACCACAGGGGCATCTTGGCTTCAACAGCTGGGCTTTGAAGTGGAAGAATTATAACCAGGTTTAGAAGTTTTGTTTTTTGTTTGTTTGTTTGTTTTTTGGGGGGAGGGGAATAGTGCTCTGGCTAAGGTTAGGCTTTTGGTAAAAATTAAGTCGTGGTTTTGATTTGTTACTGTTTGGATTTTGTTTTGTGATCTGAAGCATTTGCATTCAGGTGAAGAGGACCCCTCCTTGGAATCATTCGTCTCGCTGTCAGGTCCCTGCCCTCTGAAGTTGTCAGTACCATGTATTTCCCCTGGTTCCTCACTCTTGTTCAACTGAGTCTAAATTTCTTCTAGGAAATGCCTCTTTGGGCATTTACTGACTGTTTATTGTAGATCTGTGATTCTCAAGTGTGGATGCAAGTTGGAGCTTTTAAAATATAATGGTGCCTGGGCCCCATCTCAGGCGGGTTGAAAAAGAATCACGGGGTGGAATCCTGGAATTGGTGTTTTTAAAGCTTCGTAGGTGAATCTAAAGTCAACCAGGATTCAGCACCACAGACTTAGACATAAATCAGATTGGTAATTCTCACTCTTGAAGACACAGAATATGGGTAAGAAGAATTCTGGGAGTTTGGGGGTTGGGGGAGGATCCTGCCAGCCGTGACCATCTTGGGAGTACTAGGGATCACCGGGATGGCTTCAATGCCAGAGCACGGCAGGAACTGACAGACATAAAGGAGAAGACAAGCCCACCTGCCACATGTTTGCTGGTTATTTCTGGGCCTGGGAGAGAGATTCTGAGACTGCATTCGGTGGGGGCATAATGCTCAGAGGGTGGATCAATGCCTCTGTCTTGAAATTAGGAGCACAGGAACACCTCCGACAGAATGTGTGCTTGCCCACCAGTCGGGTGTGTCTCTGAGCTGTGTTTTGGTTTGGGAGATGTCCAGGCAGGTGCCTTTGACCTGTGCCAGGTGTTGGGTGTCAATTATACTCCCTTAGTCAGGAGTCCTGGCTTTTGACACTTTGTATCTTTTTCCTTTTATTTTCAGATAATGTACATGTTTCTGTGGAATGCCGGGAAGAAAGCCTCGAAGAGGAGTGGATGGGTTTATTGGGGTACCTTTCCAGAATCTCTATTTGTAAAAAAAAGGAAGGTAAGCATGGGGGTGGTGCTTTCAACTGGGTTTGGAGACTCAGTTTGGAGGCACAGGGAGGCTGGGAGAGTGGGAGGCTGGCCTTTCTATGTGCTCCTGCTCCTTGGGTGCAAAGGCCTGTCTCAGGAAATCCACAATTGCTGAAGCCACGGGCACATGAGCACCTGGCTCTCTGCAGTCCTCAAACTGAGGGGAGGCCATGGCATGTTTCGGGTTTTAAAAGGCACAGGCTGTAGACTACCTAGAAGAGTAAGAGTGAATAAGAAGGATTTTCTGCCCAGGGGCAGTGCATAGGCACTTTGCTGTTCTGTTCAACTGTGGATAGGAAGATTTTGACACTCCAGATTTTCTGGAGCCTTCCCTACCCAAGTAGTGGAGAGGAGCTTCACTTCCCATTTCTTAGTTCCTGTCACCACTCCCTACGGGACAGTAGGTCCCTGTTGATAGCTCAACCTAGGTGGGTGTGCTCAGGGTTCTCTCAAAATTAAGCTTTCTGTCTGTGCTGCAGATTACTGTACAAAATACAGAAAACATGTGAGAAGCAGATTCCAGTGCATTAAAGACAGGAATGCCCGTCTGGGTGAGAGTGTGAACCTCAACAAGCGCTATACCAGGCTGCGTCTTGTCAAGGAATACCAGAGCCAGCAGGACAGAGAGCACGAGCTCCTGGCCATCGGCAGGTCTTCTGCCAAGACGCGGGACAGCTCTGTGAGTTCCATGAACTTGGACTTGCTGTTTGAGCCCGAGGACCCACACTCTGAGCCTGTGCACACGGTGGTGCTCCAGGGGTCAGCGGGCATTGGGAAAACAATACTGGCCCGGAAGATCATGTTGGACTGGGCGTCGGAGAAGCTTTACAAGGACAGGTTCGACTACTTGTTCTATATCCATTGTCGGGAGGTGAGCCTCGGGACGCAGAGGAGCCTGGGGGACCTGATGGTCAGCTGCTGCCCTGACCCAAACCCACCCATACACAAGATTGTGAGAAGGCCTTCCAGGATCCTCTTCCTCATGGACGGCTTCGATGAGCTGCAAGGCGCCTTCGATGAGCACATGGAAGCACTCTGCACTGACTGGCGGAAGGTGGAGCGGGGAGACATTCTCCTGAGCAGCCTCATCAGAAAGAGGCTGCTTCCAGAGGCTTCCCTGCTCATCACCACGAGACCCGTGGCCCTGGAGAAGCTGCAGCACTTGCTGGACCGTCCGCGACATGTGGAGGTCCTGGGTTTCTCAGAGGCGAAGAAGAAGGAATATTTCTTTAAGTATTTCTCAGATGAGCAGCAAGCCAGGGAAGCCATCAGACTGACTCAGGAGAACGAGGTCCTCTTCACCATGTGCTTCATCCCCCTGGTCTGCTGGATCGTGTGCACGGGGCTCAAACAGCAGATGGACAGTGGCAAGAGTCTTGCTCAGACGTCCAAGACCACCACTGCGGTGTACATCTTCTTCCTCTCCAGTTTGCTGCATTCGCAGGGAGGGAGCCAGAAGCACCATGTCTCTGCCAACCTCCGGGGTCTCTGCTCATTGGCCGCAGATGGAATCTGGAACCAGAAAATCCTGTTTGAGGAGAGTGACCTCAGGAACCATGGCCTGCAGAAGGCAGATGTGTCTGCTTTCCTGAGGGTGAACCTATTCCAAAAGGAAGTGGACTGTGAGACATTCTACAACTTCATCCACATGACTTTCCAGGAGTTCTTTGCTGCCATGTACTACCTGCTGGAAGAGGAGGAACAGCAGGGCATGAAGAATATGCCAGGGGGTCGTTTGGAGCTTCCCAAACGAGATGTGACGGTCCTTCTTGAAAACTACGGCAAATTTGAAAAGGGGTATCTGATTTTTGTTGTTCGTTTCCTCTTTGGGCTTATAAACCAGGAGAGGACCTCATACTTGGAGAAAAAACTCAGTTGTAAGATCTCTCAGCAAATCAGGCTGGAGCTGCTGAAGTGGATTGAAGCCAAGACCAAGGCCAAGACGCTGCAGACCCAGCCCAGTCAGCTGGAGCTGTTCTATTGCTTGTATGAGATGCAGGAGGAGGACTTTGTGCAAAGGGCCATGGGCCACTTCCCCAAAATCAAGATCAATCTCTCCACCAGAATGGACCATGTGGTTTCTTCTTTTTGTATCCAGAACTATCGCAGTGTGGAGTCACTTTCTCTGAGGCTGCTCCTTTACTCACCCAAGGAGGACGAGGAGGAGGAGGATGTTGGACACTGTCTTATGGGCCAGTGTGACCCTCCAGGTCCTCACACTGTCCCTTCTCATCGGTAAGGAGGTCGACCTCATGCAGGTGGTAGCACATCTCCCCCTGCAACCTCCTCTTCTAGCCACCTTTCTCTTGGCAGTGTTCCTTCTCCCCTCTTCTCAACTGTCTTTAAAATGCAGTTGGCATGGCTATGCAGTAATGCTACCACCCCCTATTTATAGCAGACCCCCTCACTGGCAGAGGTTGACTAGTAGAAGAAGGATATATGGACAAGTGGGATGAGAAAAAAAGCCAACAAAGCAATAAGCAAATGTTTGATGGATGCCAGCTCAGCATAAGATCTTCTGTGGGTTGGACAACTGAGTGAACACATTTATAAACTCAGATCGCTTGTAATCTACTTGGGGCTCTAGTGTGTTATTAATCCTTAAGGGGCAAAATGACCCCAGTGACTGACCCAGGATCACAGAAGACAGAGGGACCTTAGTGCTGAATGCTGGGGGGAAGTTTGTCAGAGGAGTAAAGCAGGAGCTGCTTTGTGGGACTGGTGGGACTTGGGCAGTGGGGTCTGGTAAAGACAAGTCGTGAATGTAATCTGAGGAAGAGTGTATGTAGCAGATGGCAGGAAGGACACGGCTTCATTGGGGCAACGATAATGAAGGGAAATTGAGGAAAAGAGGGCTGGAAAGGAGAGCATGCTCCTGGGCCCCATGATGTGTTTGCAATCAGGCTGTCGCCAGCAGCACCCTGGTCAGTCGGGGTGTGTTCACACACTTGCTGGGGGCTGGGAGCCAGCTGCCATGTCAGGACAGTGCAGCGGTTGAGTTCCCTGACTTCTGAAGTCCCTGCATGGGAACAGCCACAACTACAGAGGTGGGAAGGCGGCCGCTCTTTGAATGCTTGGGTTTAACCTCTGTAGAAAACACTAGACATGGGACAGAAATTAGGAGAAAGAAGGCTAGGCCCTTCCATGGGCAGTGATGAGTTCTAACTCCAGTGATGAGTTCTAACTCCGTCTCTGCCTCGATACCAGCACTAGCACAACTTTCTGTTTATTGTTTGGTCATCAAGGACCACCTGCTGGGGCTTCAGTGGTGGCCGCGACCCAGGTCCTGCCCACAGTGACTTGGGGACAGCCAGGAAGCACAGACACATGGGGAAGATGGGCTACACTAGCAGACTGAGCCTGAGGCACATGGGGCAGGGGGTTGGGGGGGAAGCCAATGGCTAGCCAGGTCCTGCAGGTAGGGCAGGGGGAAGCCAGACAAGAAGCAGCCAGTGCAGAGGGCAGGGGTGGGAAAACAGGACAATTGTCCATGATGACAGGACAGCTAGAAAGAAGATGGGATAGAAGGAGTGAGAGAAGGAGGTAGACCTGCTCACTGGAGCCCTAAAAGTGAAGCCGACAAATGAGAGACCCCACTGAGATCCCACAGCTGTGAGGAAGGCTCACAGAGACTGAGACAGACTGCAGATGGCAGCTTCCTTTCTCTAAGGGGAGGCACTTGAGTTGTGTGTTCTAGAACCTTTTCAGGATCAGTGGCTTGGGCGTCCACCCAGTGCCTGTTAGAAATGCAGAATCACCCCTGGACCTGCGGGGTCCTAATCTGTTTTCACAAGAGCTGCACATTGGAGTCACCTGGAAGTGTTAGAAATATCCATGTGCCCAGTCCCCCCTCAGAGTCTAACGTTATTCCCAGGCTGTGGCCTGGCCTAGGGATTTTTGAGAGCAATGTGAGAACTGATTGCTTTACCTCTTGGCAGAATGTCCAGGCCATGGGAGGGACAGTTGACCAATGGTTGAGGGAGGGGCCAGTCACAGGCTCACACTTCTTCCATATGTGGTATGCAAAGAGTTTTTTCAAGGCTCCCCAGCCCTTTTCATTCCTCGGTGGACAATCTTCGGTTCTGAGACTCTTCTTCATCCCTGGGAGGCCTTTGTCTCAATTGGTGCCAGCCATGCTAGGTCCCTACCATCAGTTCATTGTTCTGACACACTGACTTTCTTCTCTCCCTCTTCCTTCTATCCATTTCTAGATTGGTGAACTGTGATCTCACTCCTGCCTTCTGCTGGGGTCTCCTCTCTGTCCTGAGCACTAACCAGAGTCTCACTGAATTAAACCTCAGTGACAATAATCTGGGGGACACAGGGATGGAGGTGTTATGTGAAATGCTCCAGAGTCCTGGCTGTAACATTCAGAGATTGTGGTAAGAACCTGTGTGTGTGTGTGTGTGTGTGTGTGTGTGTGTGTGTGTGTGTGTGTGTGAGAGAGAGAGAGAGAGAGAGAGACAGAGAGAGAGACAGAGACAGAGAGAGAGAGAGAGAGAGAATAAGCACTAGCACTGGAGGAAGATCTCAGGCACCAGATTAGTGGTTTATGATTCTCCCAGGGTGGCCATAACAAACACCACAGCCTGGGGGTCTTAGACGACAGATACCCATTTTCTCACAGTCCTGGAAGCTGGATGTCCAAAATGAAGGTATCTGCGAGGCTGGCTTTTTCACAGGCCATCTTCTCCCTGTGTCCTCACATGGTCATCTCTCTGTGTATCTGTCCTGATCTCTTCTTATAAGGACACCAGTCATATTGGACCAGGGCCCACCCTAATGACTTCATTTTTACCTTATTCACTTCTTTAAAGGCTCCATTTCCAAATACAGACACATTCTGAGGTCTTAGTGGTTAAGGCTTCAACGTATGAATGTTTTGAGGGGGCACAGTTCTTCCCATAGCAAGTGGGAAGGCAGAATAGATCAGAGGCCAGTTGCTTGAGAGTATCAAATGGGGAAGAATGAGGAGGAACTGAAAATAAGTAATTTGTTGGTGGTATGACAAAAAGAGCATGGCCTTCAATATCTTCCATTTCCTCATTGGCCATGTTCATAGAATCTGAGAGTTTCACAAATACAACAATGGCTACTTGGGCTGGAACATTTTGTATAAATTGAATTGTCACAGGGAAACTCCTGTAGCCTGATTATAGATGTGCTTGTTCTGAGCCCACATGTGAATCAGTGTCACATGCCCTGAGTTGAGCACACGGTGGTCTGAGCCATCCTTCCAGCCCTCTTCCATCACACGTCTGCATTTTTGACAAGCTACACAGCCAGTGTTAAAGCCCACCACTCTAAGAGGTTTTCCTACCTCTGTCTTTCTCATCATACCCACCCCTGTCACTTTTACCTACTGCACAAGTCGTTGTCCACTTTCCTCATCGTTACTCCACCAGCCTGGGTCCCACAACCCCAATCACTTGCCTGGATATTCCAGTGGACTCCAAGACCATCAGTTTCCAGAACAGGATTTGTGCTTGTCTTGACATTGTCTCTACACTGTCTGGATAAGTGCCTCAGTACATTTTGAGCACAGTTAGTGCTCAAAAATACATATTGAAGGAATATTGGCTGTTTGGTCTCTCTGCATCTGCTTTAGCCACTCACCAACCATTCTCCATATGGAAGTCAGAGGACTATTTAGAAAATTTTTTGATCATGCCATTTCACGTGCTTAAATGCTTTGCTCTTTTGATAAATTACAAATCCTCTTCTGGACTTCAAGGTTCTGGATGGTTTTGGCACTTCAAATGCCCTTCACCTTCATCCCATACCACTCTTCCCATTGCCTCATGGGATTCCAGAGAGTGAGACACAAACAGGGAGTTGTGGGTGATGATGAGATGCTTGGCAGGTCAACAGAGAGTTAGCTGTATGTTGCTTCTAGCTGGTGTGAAGATGGGGCAGAAAGGATGGTGGTCCCAAAAGCTCTAGGACATATGAACTATTGGCCTGGAAAGGAGCTGGGATGTTGTTCTTGTTCCTATGGCAGTGGCAAATTGTTGTTAATGAGGTGTGTGTGTGTGTGTGTGTGTGTGTGTGTGTGTGTGTAAAACAAATCAAGAATCAGATGATTATTATCCTAAGCGAAATATATCAGACAGAAAAAGTCGAGAACTGTATGATTTCACTGATGTGTGGGATATAAAACTGAAAACAACAAAGGAACAAGACAAACAAATAAATAAACAAAACTCATAGACACAGACAATAGTTTAGTGGTTACCAGAGGGTAAGGGGGGGTAGTGGATGAGGGTAAAAGGGATCAAATATATGGTGATGAAAGGAGAAGTGATTCTGGGTGGTGAACACAAAATGTGATATATAGATGATGTATTACAGAATTGTACACTTGAAACCTATGTAACTTTACTAACAATTGTCACCCCAATAAACTTTAATTTAAAAAAATCAGATGGCGGTCTGGGGTTGAATCATTAAGTGGAATAGCAGGGATGAGGTTGGCAAAGAGAAGGAGATGGGTCCAAGTACGGAGAGCACAGTGTACAACTGAGGGAGTTTCAGCTGTTAGGAACATGTGGCCAAGAGGTGGAACCCATAGTTTCAATCCCCTTTTCATTTACAGAAGAGGGATGTGCTGTTTGCACATTTGTGAGTTGACCCCTGTTTATGGACGATGTTCACTGACTGGAGCTCAACAGTTTTGGTCTCAGCTGTGAGCTTGTGAGCTAACGTCCCTCTATGTCCTGGGTTGTATTGAGGAATTCTGATAAGATGACACTTTCACAAAAACTTCATGATTTTCCTTTTGTAACATGAGAAAAAGTGCCTCTGTTCAGGCTGAAACCCAGCACAGACCAGAAGGCAGTCCCAGAAGGCAGCATGTTCTGATGCTTTCTGCTTCTGCTTGGCATGAAGGTTGAGGCGCTGTTGCCTTTCCCATCACTGCTGCTTCACCATCTCCTCGGCCCTGAGCAGCAACCAGACACTGGTGGAACTGGACCTGAGCCACAATGCCCTGGCAGACAGCGGAGTCAGACTTCTGTGTGTGGGACTGAGGCATGCGTTCTGCAACCTGCAGAAGCTCTGGTGAGTCAGAACTAATGTCCTTCAGGAAGCATGAGCTGTGGCTGCAGTGGGCCCTGATGGCCTGGAGTGTTTGTGTGAGGATGGTCTTGGCTGCTCAGGCATTCCCCGTGTTACCTTGAAGTGTTTGTCAGTAATCCAGATGGTCAGTGTTTGCTGTGGGAAAAGCCACACCGTGTTGCCTTTAAGACTAGCTGTGAACCTAAAACCAGTGCCATGCAGTGCCCCAGAAGAGTCTTGGGGCTTCATGACAAACCTGGACTCCACACTGAATAAGAAAATGGTGCTAAAAAAAAAAAGCAGACATGGTATTCTGTGCAGCCCTTTGCTGAATGCTTTTGGGACACTTGAATTTTGAAGAAGAGAAGAAAGTACTTGAAAATAGTAGGGCCAATTTACACCCATTAGGATGGTTATTATAAAACAATACAAAACAGACAAGAATTGTTGAGAACAGAGAAATTGAAGCCATCATGCATTGCTGGTGGCAATGTAAAATGGAAAGCGTGTCAGTTTCTCACAAAAATTAAACACAGAACTACCATATGATCCAGCAATTCAAGTTCTTATTAACAATAACCAAAAGCTGGAAACAACCCAAGTATCTATCAGTGGAGAAATGGGTTAAAAAATGTGGTATATGCACACGCACAGCCTTAAAATGAATTCTGACACATGTGGCAACATGGGTGAATTTTGAGGACATTATACCAAGTAAAATAAGCCAGACAGAAAGGGACAAATTGTGCATGACCCACTTATATGAATGCAGTTCCTAGAGTAGTCAAGTTCATAGAGACAGAAAGTAGAAGAGTGGTCCCAGGGTCTGGGGGATGGGAATGGGGAGTTAGTATTTAATGGGGACAGAGTGTCAGTTTGGGATGATGAGGAAGTTATGGAAATGGATGGTGGTGATGGCTGCACAATAATGTAAATGTGTTTTATGCCACTGAATGCACACCTAAAAATGGTTTCACTGTAAATTTTATGTTGTGTATTTTCACCACAGTAAAATTAAATGAGCTGAGAGGCTGTAGTATTGGCATCAGCTTAGAAGGTGTTTGCATGATGTTACACAATCAGAAAAGGAAATAGAAAGCTAATATAGAGCTTGGATGCACTCTTTTCATGTGGGGACTGACCTGGAGGCGGTGACAGGGCCAGTGCTTCCTTGACTCACCACAGAGAGGGCGAGAGAGCTGTGGTGACATTCTGCCATCTCTGTGGAAGGTTGGCCAATTGTGGCCTCACGTCGGTGTGCTGTGTGGATCTCGCATCCGTCCTGAGCACCAGCCAGTCCCTGACCAGACTCTACTTGGGGGAAAATGCCCTGGGAGATGCAGGAGTTGGAATTTTATGTGAAAAAGCAAAGCATCCGCAGTGTAACCTGCAGAAACTGGGGTAAGTCCTCATGGGTGTCTCAGCAGAAAAGCAACTTGTCTTCAGGGCTGCATTATTTGGAAAATGTGGGTAGGACTACTCTAAAAAAGAATAATCAGATGGAGTTGAGGGTGGGGAACAAAGGAGATGACATCTGAAGGGCTTTGAAGCTACCACCTACTGCTGACAAATCATTTTTCACTACTGAGTTGGAACTTCTGAGTCGAAAGAAACAGGAGAAACTCTTTCTCCCGATTTCTCATTGAACAAAAACACTTGTTTCTAAGACATTCACGCAGAAAGTCACCTGTTTTATGTGTGAACACTTCTGAGCCAGTCCGTCATTGCTGCACGACGTGGCCACCACAGTGGGAAAGAGTTTTTATCTTTCTTTGGCACTTTCTTTGGTTTCTGTGCATTGGTCCTCGTCCTGCTGTTGAGAGCTCCACCGAGGGATGCTGCTCTCAGTCTCCAGAGAAAACACACACCCTAGGTCTTTTCATCTCTTGCCTGGGTGTTGCTAAGTTCTCAGTTAGGACTGGCTTAGTTCCTTCACCTATTTACCCACGTTGTCCTATGGAAGGGCTGATCTGTCAATGTCCCCACTTGTGCAGTGCCCAGGCCTGAACCCCATTCCCCTAAAAATGAGTGCTGGTGCTTCCACCTTCTGCGGCAAGCACTCTACTGTCACTGCTGGAGCCTGTGACTTTCTTACATTTTTTGGCAGTCACATCAGATCATGAGTTCATGCTGGAATTTTGCAGTAAATAATAATAAAAATTCCAGGTGTCTTCTAACCCCAACAACCAATTCTCTTCAGATACGAGCTGGATGTCTTACACGTCAATTCAGTTTTGACATCAACTACCCAGAGTTAGCACAGACCCCACACGTTAAAGGCTCAGTCCTCCAAGACTGCCCTCTCCCTACCAATATCAGATGCTAATTGTAAATGGTGAGTCCCCGGGTTATTCACACTTCTTTCTGACTTGGCTACAAATGAGGGTCCCTATAACCCCCTCCTCCCTCCTCAGGTTTGAAAATTTGCTAGAATGGCTCACAGCAATCGGGGAAATTGTTATTACATGTATGCTTATTATAAAGGATATTATAATGAATACAAACCAACAGCCAGATGAAGAGACATAGGATGATACCCAGAAGGGTCCAGAGCACAGGAACTTCTGTCTGCATGGAGCTGGGATGTTCCACCCTGCGGCCACCATCCCAGAAAATCTTCAAATCTTTGTTCAGGAGATTTTATAGTGCTTAATTTCCAGTCTTCCTCCCTGCTCATTACTGGAGGTTTTGGGTGAGGCTGAAAATTCCAACTCTCTGATCACTTGGACTTTTTGGAGACCAACCCCATGCTGAAGCTATCTAAGTCACTTCCATAGCATAAACTCAGGAGTGATCAAAAGGGGCTCCTTTGAATAGCAAAAGGTGGTCCTATCACTCAGGAAATTCCAGGGGTTTTAGGAACTCTATTCCTCCACAGCTGACAGTCCTATGAAAGCTCCCTTGTGGGTAACTAACTGCTTTTCTCTTGCTGCTTTTAACATTCTCTTTTTGTCTTTAACCTTTGGCATTTGATTATGATGTATCTTGGTGTGGGCCTGTTTGGGTTCATCTTGTTTGGGACTCTCTTCACTTCCTGGGCTTGTATGTCTAATTCCTTTGCTAGGTTAGGGAATTTTTTTGTCGTTATTTCTTCAAATAGGTTTTCAATTCCTTGCTTTTCTGCTTCTCCTTTTGGCACCCCTATAATGTGAATGTAGGTACATTTGATGTTGTCACAGAGGCCCCTTACACTATCTTGATTTTTTTAATATTTTTTTTCTTTTTGCTGTTCTGATTGGATATTTTCCAAGTTGCTGATCTGCTCCTTTGCTTCATCTAATCTACTGTTTTTTTTTCTTTTTTCTTTGTTTTTTTTTTTTTTTAGTTGAGTCACCCTGCCACCTGTTGGCAGCTTAGTGGCAGCTCAACCCGGGCTGAGACTCAAACTGCTGTTGCTCAGAGCTTACACTCCTGAGTGAGATCTTAACCAACTGAGCCACTTGGCCAGCCCCTAATCTACTGTTGATTTCCTCTAATGTATTCCTTTTTTTTTTTTTTAAAGATTTTTATTGGGGAGTTAGGGGAGGATAACAGTATTGGGGAATCGGGGAAGGGGAACAGATAAGTTGCTGTCCTTTTTTTCTTCAGTCTAGTTGTAGAGGACATTGCTTCACTGGCCCATGTTGGTATTGTGATCATTGCGTTCTTCCCAGCTGAGGCAAATCGGTCGCTGGCCATTGGATGGCCATTCACAATGGCTCATGGCAGCTCACACTGGCTGCCAGTGACTCACAGCAGCCCAGCTCCAGGTCGAGCTGTTGTTCACCATCTTAACTGTAGGAAGTGCAGGGTCACTGGCCCATGTGGAATCCAAACCGGCTGCCCTGCTGCTCAGAGCTCGCACTCCCAAGCCAACTCTTAACCAACGCACCACTAGGCCGGCCCTCTATCTCCATTTTTATGTTTCCTATCTGTTTGTTGAAGTTTTCCCTGAGATCACTGTGCATCCTTATAACCAGTGTTTGGAACTCTGCATCTGGTAGATTGCTATTGCTTGTGTCCATTTTGTCTAGCTCTTTTTTGGAGCTTTGTTCTGTTCTTTCATTTTGGATACATTTTTTTGTCTCCCCATTTTGGCTGCCTTCCTGTGTTTGTTTCTATGTATTAGGTAGTGCTGCTATGTCTTCTAGTCTTAGTGGAGTGGCCTTATGTAAAATAGTAGGTGTTCTGTGGTGATCAGTGGCACAATCTTCTTGGTCACTTGAGCCACACACTCCAGGTGTGTCCCTTGTGTGGGTTGTGTGTGCCCTCCTCTTATGGCTGAGCCTTGGTTGCTCTTTGCACATCAGTGGGAGGGATTGACCCTCAGCCTCATTGGTTGTGAGGACTGGCCATGACTACAGTAAAGGGGTTGTGGTGCAGGGGTTAACCCTATAGAGCAGGATCTGTCTCAGCAGGGCTCTGGTTCCTGCCCAACCTGCCCCTTGGGTGTGTTGTTCTTGGATGCTCCAGCTTGTTTCGAAGCCCCAGGACCAACTTGGAGAGGATCTGCTGAAGGTCAAGTGCAGCCGCAGCCCATGCCTCACCTGGGGCCACCCGCCAGGAGCCACAAAGAAATCTGCAAATGGCTGCTGCCCATGCTGTGCTTGGAAGTGCCTTGAGAGGCCAAGCTGCAAACCAAGTCCAGCTGTCACTAGTGCTGGGCTTAGGGCTGCTCAGCCAGAGGTACAGGACTTGCTCAAGCCAGATGCTGCTTGTCTGGTTTCTGTGAACCTTTGAGAGACCATAAGAAAGTCTGCAGCATGAGCTAAGGCATGAGGGTTATATGAAAAAGCCACTGGAAACAGCTTGGATGTGCCCAAAAGTTGGGTGGGGCGGGATCTGGAATCACCAGGATGTGGTGAAGGAATGCCATTAGCCAGCTTGATGGAGACTGAGATATGGCAGCCACCTGGGTCGGCATGCCAGGAAGGGGGAGGGCTCAACAAAATAGCAATGGCCTGTTCAGATTGTCCATTTCTTCTTGTGTGAGTTTTGGCAGATTTTGTCATTCAAGCATTGTTCTATTTTTGTCTAGATTATAAAATTTGTGGACACAGAATTGTCTCTAGGATTTCTCTATTATCTTTTTAATATTCTTGGTATCAATAGAGATTTTCCTTCTTTCATTTCTGATATTAGTAGTTTGTTTTCTCTCTCTCTCTTTGTTTGCCTGGATAGAGGTTTATCAATTTTTATTGATCTTTTCAGTAAACCAGCATTTGTATTCATTGATTTTCTCTATTAATTTTCTGTTTTCAATTTCATTGGTTTATTCTCTAATTATCATTATTTTCTTTTTTTCTGCTTACTTTAGATTTAACCTGCTCTCCTTTTTCTAGATTTCTAGGGTGGGAGCTTAGATGATTGACTTTAGGTTTTTAAAGAAAAAAAATTTTTGTATTGGGAAATTAGGGGTGGGGAACAGTGTTGGGGAATTGGGGAAAGGGACCAGCCAAGTTGTTGTTCTTCAATCTTTGTTGTGGAAAGCGCCAGTCACCATCTGGCTTCCCGTTGGCAGCTCGTGGCCTCTAAGCTCAAGGTGCTGTGTTCAATCTTAGTTGCGGGTGGGTGTAGCCCACCACTGAACAGACAGTCTTGTTGTTAGGAGCATGTGCTCTCACTAGCTGAGCCAACAGCTCAGCTGCAGCTCAGCTCAGACGCAGCTCACTGGCCGGTGTGGGAATCCAACCAGCAATCTGTTTCTCAGAGCTAGCACTTAACCAACTGAACCACTCGGCTGGTCCTTCATTGTCTTTTTGTTTGCATGATTTCTGAGGAGAAGTCAGATGTAATTCTTTTTTTTTTTAAAGGGAAGCCTTGCCTCCCCCACCCCTTTTTTTCTTAACTTTATTGGGGAACAGTGTGTTTTTCTCAGGCCCATCAGCTCCAAGTAGTCAAGTTTTTCTCCTTCGATGTTAGTACACAGCTCAGCTCCTTGTACAGTCACTGTTTATTTTTCAATCTAGCTGTGCGGGACATAGCCCACCATTCCATGCGGGAGTTGAACAGACAAACTTGTTAAGAGCATGCACTTTAACCAACTGAGCCATCCGGCCACCCACTGGCAGCTAAGCGGCAGCTCAGCTCACGTCATTTTGTGGAGGGTGCAGCTCACTGGCCTATGTGGGAATCGAATTGGCAACCCTGTTGCTCAGAGCTTGCGCTCTAACCAACTGAGCCACTCTGCCACCCCAGGTGTAATTCTTTTTTTTTTTTTTTAAAGATTTCATTGGGGAATTGGGAGAAGGGAACAGTGTTGGGGAGTTGGGGAAGGGGAACAGACAAGTTGCTGTCCTTTTGTTCATCAGTCTAGTTGTGGACAACATCACTTCACTGGCCCATGTTGGTATTGTGATCATTGTGCTCTTCCCGGGTGAGGCAGTCACTTACCGGCCATTGGATGGCCGCTTACGGCCACT